TTTGGAAGGTCGTCGAATTGAGTTCATAGATATGGCACTTTATTGGTATCACAAATTTCTCTTACGTAAACTAACAATTTTTATACGCAATAACAACCGATAATTTCATCGGCGCGAGGACAACTAAAGATAACTTGACCTATTTTTTTATCTCGCTGCTCGCGTAACTCTAACCTACTTACTGTTACACGTGAGTATACAACCAATTGCCACTAAGTAGATTAAATGACGTTGCAATTAAAGGTCCTAAATCTTCAACATACCGAGAAATTATCAACAAGGGCTATTTATAACTGTCGATATTTTATAGTTTGTATTTCGACCCTGAATGTAGCAATTGTTGTGTACACATTTCCTGCAGTATATATTAAATTAATCATTGTAGAATTGCCACTGAGAGCAATGACTTTCCTCGTCGCGACGTTTATCAAATTTATGAGGCTTCCGATACTAATTTATAATAAAATTCGACGATTCTTATGAGTCACGATAAACTGGTTACAAAAACAATCGATACCAACAAAGACTAATAAATTACGCTTTAAATAAGCAGCGTACAATTTTGAAACGGTCATACAAAGAATTTACGTAAGATAATTTCAAGACATTTCGTACGTAAATTAGTTGAAACTAGAACACTGAAATGGGTTAAGTGATTCTTAATAATGTAGCAATTAGCTGTATAGAGCAAGGCCAGATAAGTAGGTCTCGATGCTTTGTTTCACATCGGTGTAACGAGTGTTTATTTAAAGATTAATTTTTATCAGACAGGGAAATCCCTCCGGAAAAACGGAACAGCCTTGACATAATTTACGTTGGCCGTTTATCACCAGAAGTGTTACGAAATGGAACCTTGACACCAAACCATTATCGGGAACCCTGAGGCCGGGCCAAAATAACCCGTAGTGTAATTGGGTGGTACGGTGAGAATGCGAATATCGGTCAAGTATACGCGAATCAAAAACAAAAATGTTTGACACTCGTCCAGGAACGGTGGCTTTCCGCCAATAACCTCAAGTTGAAACACTAAGAAACAAGGATTCTCAGTAAAAAATTGTAATTTACATTAAAAAAATATTTATGAATTTTAGACATTATCAAATAATCAATTTTATTACTTATAAAAACTTACTCTAGTTTCGGAAATAAACAATCGTTTTTACATTGCTTGTAAATACTACGCGTAGACAAACATTCTAGCGTTAAATGTAATTACATCAAGGTAATCACAATGCAGACGAGTGATAATTTTTATCACCCATAACTATTTGTTAGCTTTTATTTATCTCTAACAAGGTTAGCTCATAAAGCACCCAGTATGTCAGTAAAATGTTAAATCAAAGATGGCGACCGGCCCACTTTTCCCGCGCAATAGTCGTCGAGCGTGTGGAAAGTTACCGTTGTACTACTTTCTCTACTTTTTCCAAGATGGCCGATTGTCTATAAGTCTTGATAGAAGGTCAAGAGCGCGCAATTTGTATATATTTGAGGTCAACGCGATTAGTTCTAGCATTTTTATTTATGAAAAACATATACATATTTGCAACGCATTAAATAGTTGGCCATTTGATTCAACGGTCAAGGGCGTGACACGTCTGAGGAATTAATTAGCTTCACGTTGGATCACGTTGCAGTTTATATAACGGTTAGGAGAGGAGTAAACGTGCTTGTTGGTGTTACGCAAGCACCAACGTGAGGTTCAAGATTGGCACGTGTCAAGTGCCGCGTGACTAGCCTGCCGCAAGCACGTGTGCGCCAGGACGATTACGCCCGTAAGTTATAAGCGGTATCCCACCACTCAATCAAAATATTGATGCCGAAAATTCAAATTTAGAATAACGCAGAAGAACGGAACGATTAGGGATTTTTTTTTTCATTAGACACATTACACGAAGTTATATATCACAACAATAATACGGTTATCTAATATAGGTCAATAAAAATTATCAAGAACCGTTTTATATATAACGATTAAACATGACATCATTATACAATTATAACGGATTACACATAATAATAATTAATAATATTGTCTACGTAATTTAAATTTTGCGTAAATTACATACTTGTTATTTCTTAAAGATGCTATCAAATTTGCAAACTTCACTGAATGTAAAAAAACAAAATTGTATTTGGCTTGACGCAATATCATGAGAATCTGTTTCATAAATATTTGTCACCGCAAGTGGAACGCGCGTAATTAAGATTTTCATTTCAAAAATGTCTTAAACCAATACGTCTTATTATCGTGCCACGACCTGAATGAGAATTATGAAACACCGATAAGGTTATCTATATTACTGTTTTTGATCCAAATATGCCAAGATTTTCATATAACCTAAAAAGAAAAACGTCACAGCATTTTGATGACAAGACAGTTTTTATAATTGAGTTATCTCTATGAAACTCGGAGGGTAATGACCTGTCAACCTTTACGTACACCATATGGAGAGGTTAATTGAATATTTAAATATTTTATTAAACGGTCTATAAAGTAACAGGTTAAAATATCAATAAAATTTCAATTTTATCATTAACCTAAATCTTATCAATAAAAAAAGAATACGATTTCTTAACAGTTACCTATTAATACCTTAAGTCACGTGTTACGAACATGATATTAGCACGTGAATCAAACTATGTATATTATCTTATTAACAAAGTACTATCATATTTGTATTTTTCATATGAACATATATGTATATTATATACCTATTATGTTGATATAAACAAAATATTGAAATCCTACTCTAGGGCTGTATCTCACACGCACTGTTTCGTACGTGATCGAGCAGCTTGTCCACATTCTGACAGTTGCCCAACCCAACCTTGAGCAGTGACGAAATCGTATATAACAGTATTACGAGTTTTAGACACCAGATGAGCATAAAAAGCATCAATGTACCGTACGGTCCCATTTTTGGGTAACGGTTCAAAGTAGATGATTAGCGATAACTGTTCGTCAATTCGGCTAACAGTATTGGTATCTTGTAGCACCCAAATGTGCTAATTTTATTATGTGACGGTTACTTTTATCCGTATAGCTCTTAGGAACAATTTTAAAGTATTTCGAAATTTAACAAATATTTAAGTAGCACGTGGCAGTGTTAACCAAAATTATCATTATATTTCCCACGCAAATCAAAATTTAGCCAAACTATTTCCAGAAATTCTTAAAGAACCGTTTGGTTAATTTATCTATAGTCTCGATTAATATTCTTTATCAACTCCTAACCGGAGTTTTAACTGTTCGTTCTCTCAACCATCAAGTAACGGGCCCCGTTCTGATTAGCGTTATTGAGAAATTATTCATTTGCTTTTATATAAAAGATTTATTGGCAGAACAGTTATTTTTGTAGAATTAATAATACGTAGTCCGCACGTGTTTATTTTGAAAATTTTGTCGAGATTAAAAAAATGGAATAAAAATCAGGTATAATAAGTGACGCAAATAATTTTCATAACACCAAACGTGCAAATAGCTAACGGTCAATTTAAAAATTCATGAAGTCATCTCAACTGTATAAGTAACGGAAAAATGAATTATGAACTTCAGATAAAACTGTATACTGCTCTAAAAATATTAGACGCAAACAAATTATTCCTCCACGTGACTAATTTTGCTTCGATAATAAAAATGATAGAACTTTCTAAATAACTTTACATAAATGAAGAATTTCTTATAAGAAAATTGATACCAGCATAAGTAATACAATAACGCCCAGTGACACGGCAATTAGAGCGGTTTGTAATCGGACAGTTAGTGTAACGGGTTCGAATCTAGGCCGCCCTACTGACACAACGCCTTTGCAACTTGTTCGGCGCACAAAGCTGATAAAGTACGGTATACCTTGATCAAGAGAAACACTTGAAGACAGACGATCGTCTTTCTTAAGTTTAAATTTATTTGAACGGTAAATATAATTTTTAATGGTGTTGTAATTGTAACAAGTAAAATACAACCTCACGTCATACACGTATATTAACATAAATAAAACTCAATAAGAATAGGAAGTAGTTATATAAAGCATTCGAGATGCAACGATCGTCCGAAAACATCTTATAAATCTCTACCGACCCTCTAATGATCTTTTTCGAATTTCATATTTATTTAAACTGAATAATCTCGTATAATCAGTACCGGGCACGTGTTCCCGTGCACGGCATAGTTACAATCACATGCAAATTGTTTTTGAGAAGCATAATTTCAGATTTAGAAAGAACTCTCACGTTGTTACCCATTTGTCCGCATGTATTGTAACGTGACCACTTAGTTCTTTTTTCTATGCACTAATCTACGCGGAAAAAAGAAGTTACTTTATGGTTTTAGTACAATAGGCACTTACAAATGAATCTTTCATTGTTAAACACTTTTAATAAACACGAACTATTTTTTGCTGGCGCTTCCTGTCCTCAATCATTCCGTTTTTGATTAGGAAATAGGATCACGTAAGTGAGCGATATTTAGGATGTTACGATAAGGTCATCGACATATTAGTGAGAATAATTGTTTTGACTATGCTGCAGCAACCACGCTACTAGCAACGTGAGTTGATTGCGAAATCTTACCTATTATTTAAAAAATCATTACTTAGCATCTTAGTTTCAGTCACATGTTGACGGGCATGGCGTTTGTTCACGTTCTCGTTCACGCAAGTCGAAGTATTGGAACACTCATTGAATGAATATTTTAATCAATTTTCTTAACGGAAGTGCTTTAGTAACGTATCCTGTGCGACCTAAAAATGCATCGTGTAATACAAGAGGTTAGGAAATATTGATTAATGATCGTTATAACATGAAAAGTTAAAAAAAAATGTAAATGTTGTAATGTTATTTCACAAAGATTCACGTATAGCACGGGTTGCGAGGGAACTTGCGACAGAATTTTTGCAAGCATGTTTGGTAACCGATTAGAAATGGCAAAGTTTTAACGTAATATTTCTTTGTTACAGAACCACATTGAGGATCCCTGCGGACCCAACGTCGTCCGCCAAAACATGGTTGCTGAGTTTATATTGAGCCAGCAGCATTTGATGGGTGGGGGTGCTGCCATGGGGCCAGGACCAACCCCCTCCAGAGTGCCGCCGCCGCAAAGGCCGCGCCTCTCAGTCTCACCACACTACCCTATGGATCAATCTCCTTCTTCCAATGGCTCAGCCGAACATCAAGATTTCAACTCATTTGACTACAATAAAAGAAAGGAGTTCTTCGGACAGCGTAAGCAAAGGGAGTTCATCCCTGACAGCAAGAAAGATGATGGCTACTGGGACCGCAGACGGCGAAACAATGAAGCCGCTAAGCGCTCCCGCGAAAAACGCCGTTTCAATGACATGGTTCTTGAACAACGAGTCGTCGAACTCTCAAAAGAAAACCATGTGTTAAAAGCTCAATTAGATGCTATTAAAGAAAAATATGGAATCTGTGGAGAGGCGCTTATCAGCATCGACCAAGTCTTAGCCACATTACCGACATGCGATCAAGTATTGTGCGTTACAAAGAGAACTAAATTAACAGGCAACGCTCTATTTCCTGCCGCGCCACCTCCACCTCCTCCGATACCTTCTGCATCGCCGCCACCTCCGATACCACAGCGTGCCCCCGAACCTTACCAGGAAAGGCTTCCAGCCCCTGAGGCTTATTACCCTCACCCAGCCCACTACGAACCACCAGGTTCCGTTCTCAACCTTTCAAGATCTCGCCGTGCTCCCTCACCTTATGAACTCTCCTCCCTCTCGGGTTCCGGAGATGAAACTGGTGAACAATACGCCCACGAAAATAATGGACTCCCATTAAAATTACGCCACAAATCACACTTGGGTGACAAAGATGTTGCCAGCGCTCTTCTTTCCCTCCAACACATCAAGCAAGAGCCAGGACCACGTTCATCGCCTTCTTGGGATGGTGAAGGGTCCAGTGACGAAAGGGACTCGGGGATCTCACTGGGAGTCGAATACAGACCGCAGCGACCTGTCAGCGACGAGAGGTTAGCAGAGGAAGAAGATGCTCACCTTAAGGCCGAGCTAGCGCGGCTGGCTACTGAAGTCGCAACACTTAAAAACATGATGCACCAGAACAAGACTCGTGTTTTGGAACATTGAGCGAGATCGATTTGCGCCTGGACCGCGCCCGCCTCGCTCCTTCCGCGTTATTCGTACAAACTGTCTCAACCTGTCCCCTCCCGTGTAGAAGAAGTTACCACGTAAAGAGATGTATATTGTATGATAGTGCAGCTGACCGCGGCCAAGTCGCATCGCCTATTTGTTATCCTTCCTAGTAGTCGTATTAAATGTTTAGGTTAGAGATAGTTAAGAGACGTTTGTGGAGCTCCATATGAGACTAATTTTCGGTTTAGACTTTTCGAGAAGATACAACTTTTCTACTCATGATAGATTTTAAAATGATGCATTTTTAGTGGTGAGCTATGTAAGTGTAATATAGGTAAAGAAGTAGATATGTTTCATCTTTTCGAAGACTCATTTGTAAAAATCGATAGCTAAAGACTATGTTTCGAGTAAGGTAGACTTAAGTCAATGTAAGTAAATATAAGTCCAATCTAGTTTATTTATAAATTTTATATGTAGTCCTTCTCATTCGGAATGCCTGTTAAAACCAAAAAATATCCTCTAGCTGTCAGGAATCGCAAATTAAAAATTGTATCTATAATCAGATTAAGAATACCAGTGCCTTTGACAATACATACCTACCTTTAAAATAGTTGAACTAAATGTAATATTTTTATAAATTTCTATAAAGATGCGATTTCATAGCAACGGCCACCCTTACCATGTGTTAGAATCTAGTATTATGTCGTTTAAAATTGATGGGACGCATGGCGTATTTCGTTTTAAGTCGATGTTGTTTCGTGCAAATAACCCATGGTCGGGGACTAACTATGTGTCGAGTATTTATAAGTTGCTCCTAAATTGCCCAAAGGGCATGTGATAGAACTAATGGAGTTTAAGTATTTATTTATTCGGACCGTGAAAGAGGATTTTACAATTTATTATCTTTGTATAAGAAACACTATACGATATGAATAAATTGTGTACATAAAAATGCATTTTATTTAAAAACCTTTGTGACAAAATAAATCTGCCCAAAAACACATATCAGTAATAAATAACCAATACTGCTATTATGCTGAATAACAACTTTAACCTACATAAAGTAAAAGTAGATAAAAAACATCTACACATAATCTTATTAAAGAGAACATTACCTTAAAACTCTTCGATAGGTATTTTTCAAGAGAAATGCACTTACTTGTATTTTAAATTACCTAAAAGGTATCATTACATTCAATAAAGCAGTGAACGAAGCAGGACTGCATTTTGATAGAAAAATTAGATTCCGTCTGAAAAAGTAACGCCTGATATTATAATACACGCAAAGGCTGATCATCACTTCTGCCTTAACAATATCAAATATTTGTTTGAAATGTCACTTTTACTCGTTACTATAATAGGCACTATACATTTTCAAACAAATACCCAGGACGTATCTTACATAAAAATTTAATTTGGGGTTCCTGGGTTCAATTACAACAAAGTGACAAATGTTACACACTTAATTATAAAAGCAAAACATTGTGATTTTAGGTATTTCATTAAGTACACTGTACACGTAAAGTATGACAGTTAAAATGTATATTATATGTAACTTAACTTATTGGTTGCCATAATCATAACTGAAAATCACGAACTATGACTCCCATTTCACATTTGTCAATAATATATTGGATTTTAACTTTAGCATGCAGGTAACAGAAAATGTTCCTCCTGCAAAATTTATTTAGCAATCACGAGAAACTGTAAAGTTGCTTTAGATTAAAAGGTAGTACAGCCAGACGAATTTACAGATCATCCTTTCTAGTTCTAGTGGACCTTAGGGCAATTTTTTTCAAAGTAAAATAAATACATTAAAAAACCGTATTTAATTTATCGTTTAATTTTAAAGAAACGCATGATTATACAATTCTGAAAAAAAAATATTTCAACGTTGAGAACGTTGAACTTATAAACAGTTACAATTTATAGCCGATGTGTAATTTCACGTCTTACATAGAAACACACACAATTTATAATTTTTAGATATAACAAGAAACTGGACCGATTAACAAACAAAGCGTTTTTAACCTAGCTCAGCCAGGTATGACAGTTTTAATGTTCGCGGTTTCAAAAACCATAAAAATTTTGTCATCATAAGATACTTTATACGACACCAATTATTTAAATATAACAATTTCAGTTAAGGAATTTATTATTACCAACATAAAATAACTTAAATATGTACAAACTATATTACCTGTGCTTATATATCACATACATATTGTTTTGGTTATATCTTTCAGTATAAAACCTAATTTAAAATATGTATATACCTATTAAATAAATAATTAAAATAACTTAAATCACAAAATAAAGAGTATTCTAAAAAAACAAGACGTCCGTAAGCGACGACATCGCTTGGTAAAATGATTGTTTAAGTCACTGCCCTTGCCCGACACCCGCTATCTTATTCACTCGTTCTTTTTTTGACTCCTTTGTAATGGATACATATCCTTTGGGCAGTGAAGTAAGTCTCACTCAGTATTTGTAACAACTTCACCACAGGCCAAAGGATCAGGCTGTTCAATGGCCGGCAAAGGTGCAGCTTGTGATCTAAGTTTTGCAGAACTTAACTCGTTGCTTTGCACCCAAAGTTCCAACTGAAACACAAAACAATGGTAGGTATATAGGACATATTTTTCTATAAACCAATATTAGAAACTGCTTTTTAACAATTTTTATCTAAAAAGATCTATTGTTTTTGGTGACTAATCTCGGTCTGATACTCGCATATAATATAATATTTAAAAAAAAAACAATTTTGAGAATTCTCAATCATCTTTGGGAGAATAAATCAGGATTCTACATTTAATATACTTGTGTTTATGTTATTACTACACGTAAATAATATAATTTATATAATATTGCATAGTGTAATTTGAAACATTGAATAAATATATTAATTATTAAATTAATAAAACTAATATAGCGTTCAGTTAGTTTATACTAATTTTTAGTTTTATTTGCTATACAAATCATGAAAAGAGTTATAGAACTTTTTACAAATATTGTATTACTATACACTGAAGTGCAAAAAAACTATTATTTGTACACCCGTTAAAGTGTGTTTCGTATTCCACACGATGGTGTAATATGATAAAGGGATAATGTATATCCATTGTAGTGGTATTTTGGTTAAAATTTGAAAAAGGAAACAATAATGACGGTACAAGAGATGGGAAGATGAAATAAAACATGTTACAGGCAAGATTTGGTCACGAGTGGGGCGAGTAAGGGCAGAATGAAAGGGTCTGGAGGAGGCCTTTGTCGGGAACGGCAAACGGACATAAGTTTGTTTTTAACTGATTGTATGTAAGAAAAAAAGAACTGGTTTTAAATAAAGGCTATTTTTATATTATTGTTAGAATTTGTATTTTTAGATTTAAAAAGCTATCAAGTGCGCAAAGAATAATCAATGACTTCCGAATTGTGTATTGATAAAGGATTATAAATATATAGCATATTATAGACATTAACTTTTGATATAAACATCTCAAACTTACTTCCGGAGGCATTTTTTGCGGGTAAGACTTGCAGGTGCCACCGCAATGCAACTGTAAGAGCAGTTCTGCAATAGCCGCGGCTGACGTGTCAATTACCCGTTGTCTACACACAGCCACAGCATGGACGAAGCCGCCAGGACCAATAAATTCATGCTCCATGAATAAAGTCTTCTCATCCCAGAACACCGCCTGAAAATAAACACTAAGTATGAATTGCTAAGTCAAAACCATTAGGAATTTTTATGTATGAAGCGTTTATCTATAAACCTTTTAAAGTTTCCCCTATTCGATAACTCCTAATAACGATATCGATCCCGACTTCTATAGGTATTATGTGTTGTACCACGTGACGCCAATATCGCGACGCTACGGATTGATGGCATTGGGAACAATAACTTAATAGTACATTAAATAACAGTTAAGCCCCAATAACTACTTTGAAATTCGACTTCAATTCTTGCCTAGTATGTTATAGATAAATGAGTATACAGACAACGCACAATGCTGTGATTAGTGTAGACGTTATAGTTCTTCATTTAAAAAAATGTGTGGTCACAGAAATAACCATTACAATTTCTTAAGTTTTAGCTTACCCTGGACTTTATAGTAACTCTGGTAAATGGCTTGATATATCTCCTGTATCTGATGGTAGCCGCTCCTTGCAAGACCGCGCCACCAGCCGCTTTGATATTCGCGTACAAGCCCGTACGTTCATAGAAATCAGCTCTAGCGAAGTCTAATTCACGAAGATACCGCGCGTTGTTCATGTGGTATAGAAGTGTGTCTATATCGTTAAGGAGGCACCAACCTGGAATTGTATAATATTTATTTACTATATTATTTATAAGCAAAAAAAATAACCTTTCTAAAGGTACGACCATATGTTGGTTTCGAGACGCTTACATTAAGAAAGCGTAAACGAAGACGAGAAAATGTTAGTTTTAAATTTTGTTGAAGGAAAAATTAAAATATTGCCTAGTTTAATTTAAAAAACATCTTTATTAATACCAATATATCTAGTACAAAAATATTTGTTGTTTACAATATGGATTTGTTTGTCATACTGCCGGTGGTAAGTCTTTTTTATCTGTCTGGATCACTAATCGTTTCGCTGGGAAACAAGAACTCTGAGTAATACAAAATGATTAAGTGTTCCGTGAAGCATTTTTTATAATGACACTAACGGCGAAATATTCGGAGGTGACTAAAAATATGTGTGAATTTTTAACGCAAAGTGAACAAAACCTGATTAATAAAAAATTGATTAATACATACGAATAAATAAAACCTACCTCCAAATGTGTTCAAAGATCACGCGTGAGGTAACATGTCAATAAAGTTCAAAATCCGAAGAATATAATGAAACTAACTTGTATAAGTATGTATTTTAAATAATAATAAACTTATGTAACAGATTAACAAGTTATTATTATTAATTTTTATACACATGCATACTATCCATAGGCCTGTTTTATTTCACTCATTTTTCTTGGGAATGGGACCAGGATACCAAACTTTAAATATTTACAGTACACCATTGCTTTTAATGAAAAAAATCCTTATATCTTAATATATATAAATTACGCGTCATGTTGTTTGTCCGCTATGTACTCCTAAACTACTGAACCGATTTCAATCAAATTTGCACACCGTGTGCAGATCTAACTTAAAAGATAGGATAGCTTACATCTCAATTTATACCCGCAATATTATTTTATTTCAAAATATTTGTTTATTATTTGATAGTCACAATTCTAACAGACGGCGCTGTGTTGAAAGTACCAACGTTTCACATAAGCTACAGTTTAATGGCATAACCACCAAAAAAGCATGGTGGTCCCCATGATTGGTGTTCTCCTACCGTTTCCCTTGAATAGTTTACTACTATGTAATATAACAAAAACCTTAGCCTCAGCAACGCGTGGCCGGGTCTGCTAGTTTATTATAAGGATTTTTTCATTAAAAGCAAATATACAAAGATACAAAATATTGTTTGTACTTAAATAAAATAACGATGTCAACGAGGCTTATAATTTTTAAACTACTTACATTCAACTTCCGTGGTGTCCAAAATACACGCTTTTTTCCTAAAATACCTTGCCTTGACGACTGTGTACATCATTCTTGCGAAGTAGGCTATATCTAGTGTCCCATATAGCAGGAGTGTTCCTGCTACAAGGATAGCACTCCACCCAGGCACACATACTGTCCACATTACTGCTAAAACAAATTATGAACTAGATTTTTTAAATAAAAAACTGCGATTTTTATAGAAAAATAGGCAATTACGACTTCAGCGGTCACCAAGTCCGTTATAAAGAGTGATATAACATATTTTTTTATGTATTACCTTAACACATATTAATGAACGCGTAATTCACGAATTCAAAGTATTAATGATGCAATCTTGTGAATAGTGGTGATGGTAAGCTCTGAATATAGAAACCGTTGTTAAAACCAAAGACTAGAACTGACTAGCGTACTCTTCCACGCGTCAATATTAAATAAGGAAAAATCGCAAGTACTTATCGTGGTAGTCTTTGCCCGGCCTATGTCATTAAACAACTGTTTTAGGTAGACTTAAGATTGTAAGATTAGAATATAATATTTAGTATATTATAATAGGCGATTTAATATGAATATTTTATATACCAGAAGTTTGCATATTTAAAAGTTAAGCTTGTCAGGGTCATTGTAATCAAATTACATAAAAACTTCATTATAAAAATGTTTTGTCTACTAGTGTTATATAGGGTGTCTCAGTAAGAGTGCACTTTTAAAAATTTTAATATTTTTGCAAGTGGCAACTCTGAAATTTGACAGCTGTCACCTCTGTTTATTCCGATCATTAAAAATGGAGCGCTTTTTGAAAGAACAACGCGTTATAATTGTGAAAACTCATTACAAAAGTAACGCTGAAAACGCTCGCAAATTTCACCATTTTTTCAGCCGAGAAAGTGCACCTAATGTGTCAACCAATCGAAGAGTGGTCAAAAAATTTGAAGAAACTGGGTCAATTATGGATAATAAGAATCCTTTGCGTCAACATACAGGTCGGTCCCTTAAAAACATTGCTGCTGTAAACGAGAGTGTCGCCGAATACCCAAAAACATCAATTCGACGCAGCAAATTTTGACTATAGACCTCCACCTTCATGCGTACAAGATTCAGTTAACTCAGGAGCTCAAACCAGCAGACCAAGGAAAGCACCGGCAATTTGCTCAATGAGTAATGGAGCAAAGGGAAGTCGATGCCAATTTTTCGAAAAAAGTCATTTTCTCCAATGAACTGAACAGATTATCTCACGAAATTCTGATGTCAACTGGCCACCAAGATCGTGTGATTTAACGCCGTGCGATTTTTTCTTTGGGGTTTTGTGAAATCTCGAGTTTATGCGAATAAGCCCGAAACCATTCTTGAGCTCAAATCGGAAATCCAACGCGTCATCGGTGAGATACTGCCACATCTCTGTGCAAAAGTTATGGAAAATTTCATGAAAAGTGTAATGGCCTGTCATCGGAGCCGTGGAGGTAATTTGCCGGATATTTTATTCCATACTTAATCGGAACATGTCTTCTTTACAATGCAATAAAAATATCAGAACTCTGTCATAAAATACTTGTCTTTATTTAAAAATGAAAAAGTGCACTCTTACTGAGACACCCGTTAGAACGCGTAAACTGTAAAGTCCTTTACTACCCTAGAATCATCTTGACATGACCACCTATCGGGTACAATATTAACTATCTGACCGAAAACTATTAGAAAAATGGTTCAGTTCCTTATTAGTTCTATAATACAGACATTTTTACTAGTTTATGTACAATTTTCGTACCTATATAGCATCGAAGGACGCGCGGAAGACAATAAATGTAACTTATTATCACTAGTTGTGCCTTATATGTCATAGCCTAATTGGATGGAACAAAAAACTGTTTTTTTCAATATCAAGTATTCAAAGGTATATTATATTTACATTATAGGTAATCCCATAAACAAAAACTCTATATTTAAATTACTCAAAATGAACTGTACTTTTCTGAAAACATATGTAAATTGTGGAAATTTATAGGCTTTATGATAAATTATTTCTATTAAATATTCTTTAAAACAGGTTCCTAACGCTTGTTCTTGTATCACGCCTGATGTACCTACTTTGGTAGTATCAAAGCATAGGTGAATAGAAATACCATTAAGCAAATGGTATAAGTAGACTTATGTATAACCCTAAGAAATATTGTTAAAATCTTTATAACTTACCGCAGTTATAACTAATGAGTATATTAATATGATAAGCTAAGGATATATGTAATTTAAGAATAAATAAGTATGCTTGGCCTATACCTAAGCTGGCAGTGATAATACAAATTGCGGAACGAAGTGTAGATATTAAAATATATATTTTAAATATAGCGGGTAAAACATATTATTAAAAATAAATAAAATTATACATGAACTTACCTGAAAAAATCCGGATAAAATACTTCACACTTATAACATAATGTTGATAAATTTATTTTAAAAACAATAGTATCGTTTTAACTTATATCCAGAAAATATTATTTAGATGGTTATATTCTTTATATAATTCTATTAAATGCTGTTTAAGCTATGTCAATGAATTTTATTGAAATTATTTTGACATATTGTAGAAGTGCGCGCGCAACGGGTCAATATAATGGAATGACGCTAAAATCCTTCCAACGCAGTCATGTTAAGCTTAAACCTTAGATAGAACACCAAGAAAAATAAATAATATAACTATACCATTTTAAATTAAATTTCTATAAAGAGCATTCAACGCTACGTGTAATCCTAATTAATATAGAAAACAAATAAACTGATTTTTACCCACAGGTTGTTAAAGGTCTACCAGGATCTGATGGCAAAAAGGGAAAAAAGAAATTGACGCTAGCAATACTGGGGAAATTGGAGTAAAACGTTTTGATACTTTTTTTTCCTTATAGCGGCTGATTATGTGTGTGATACATGAAAATATAAAAATGTATCCAATGAACAAGGATAATTTTTGAAAATGTGGCGAATGTGGGTTTGAAATTTAGATGAAAACTCCAATTACTCTGTTCATGAGTTTATTAATTAATTAAGAACTTGAAAATGGTTCCAAATACTGCACATCCATAAAAAAGTCTTCAACGCCGTATTTATAATAAACCTTTCCTCCTGCATCTCAATTAACCGATCTTGTTCTATGAATTGATTTTCAATTTTTATTACATGTTCACAATATTTTCACCATTCATCGATCCCTATTTGAGAGAAAGAAACAGTGTACAACTCATTTATCTTGTTTCTGATCAATTCTAAATCAAAACTATCCAAGTTTATTTGTAGTATAAGAAACCCCTGAAATAAACCTAAGTTTAGTATAAGTACATAATATAATACACACGAAAAATCCCATAAACCAAAGTATCAAGACGTGTCATTCCTACTAACCAGTCAACGCTTGCACGTGGCTCAATATCGATGATTGTGTATGATCTGCATCTTGTTGACCAAGTATTCTTTGATAAACATTGAAAACAATATGTCTTGCTTGCGGTCGAAGAGGTTTCTTCGACATTTTCATCACTTTTTAAAAGAAATTTGAAGCCAAACCAAAAACAATTCCTCGAAATTTCACTTGACAGATGAATTTTTTCTTTTATTGCCATATGCAAATCGCTAATTTTTAAATTTTTTTTTTGCCATCAGATTCTGGTAGACCTATACTATCAGCGAGTCACGTGATCTATGTATATATTATTCTCATAAATGTTCGTGTGATGTTAGAATGAAGACTCGAGCATTGTGCAAAGCTGGGCCACTTTGCGCGTGTCTCTCAACCGTGCGTTCGAATCAGAGCAGTGCACCAATGGAATCTTTTCATGTGCACAGTGAACACACGCTCGAATGGTGACTCAAAGACAGCGGCATGTGTCAGACACAGAAGGTGATCGTCTACTTGCCTTTTAAGAAAAAAATATCACGTAACAGAAATCTGAGGCACAGACCTAGAGAGTTTTATAGCCACTGGTTTTTTTTTTATATTATCCTCTAGTTTCTGACTAAACTAGCCCAAAGAACATAAAGTAAATACTGCCCGATACAACCTATCCGCGTTCGACGCACCGCATGTCCAATGGAATAAAGTTTTATACCAATTACGTCATGGGAAGTATCTGGTGAAATAAACAGGTTTTACCACACTAAAAAATTTACTTATGAATAAATTAAGTTATTAATTATTTTAAGTCGCTAATAGTGTTTTTAGTACCATAAAACTGTGTTTACTGAAATGTTTTTGGATATTGCTTAAACCACGTTAATTAGGAGCCAATTAGGATATCAAGATTTAGATTTTAGACCTAGATTTATTATCAACATTTTGGACTGGAAATTCATGTGTAAATCTTATTTATCATTTAGCATGCAATATATATTTTGGATACCATAAAGTAGTAGTATATGGTATTATATATACTTTGTATTACTTACCTAGCGAATGCGGATATATATAGTCCTACCAATATATAATATATTAAGGATGTATATGTCGCCGCCAAGTTAGACGGCGCTGTTTAGTTAAAAGGCTAGGCTGTTAATTGAACGGCTAATTAATTTAGTTGGCTGCGACATAAACACGACGACTTACAGTAGGTACTTCAAGCATCCGGATCGCAAAAGGGTGACGGGACGAGGTACGGTTCATGATACGTCACGAGTCGTTGACCTTCACTTGGTATAGGCATCTCTCTCATTCACGCATTAACAGAAAAGGACAGTGTCACACGAACCGACATTTTGTTTACGTCGCGACTTGTGGCATTGACGTGTTTTTATGAAATGTGCGAACACGTCCCTCGATAGTTTCGTTGCAATAAGTTTTATTTAAAATGCGTGTATTTAAATACGATGTTGTTCAACTAATTACTGCAATTCATAAACGACCTTGCTTGTGGGATAAAACAGTTGAGAATTACAAAGACCGCACTGAACGGAGAACCGCTTGGGAAGAAGTTTTTACAATAGTAGACGATGGTTATAATGATTTAAGTGCTGAGGAGAAACGAATTACCGGTAAGTATTTTAATTACGATTAACAACTCTAAAAAATTATGTAATTTTCTATGGTTATATTGTATTCACGTCACGAAAAAAGCCACGATCGACGTCACGACTCACGGTTAACCGATAACGGATATTAAGTTAGTTTCTTTACAGAAGTGAAAAAAAACGTCTGAAAATATTTTACATGGTTATTTTAATTACCTGTAGATAATTTGATACATAGTTTGTTGTTAAACGAAAATATTATGCATAATATGATACTTAACACTTAGTCCATTGAAATGTTACATTTGCTGAACATTTGTTAGAGGACGCAATTTTATTTATGGAACATCTAGGGGGGTCAATACAAGCTTAACCTCAAGTTTGTGGGGTTGGCGTGCTTGTCCCCCGACCGCCATCTTGGATAAAGGGGTGCAAAAAACGCGTTTTTGGCTATATCTCCTAAACTATTCATCGTATATAAAATTTGCAGACACATTTTGTAGCAAATCGCTGTGCCTACAATTATATCTATGTAACTTTTTATCATAAATCCAAAAAGTTATATAAGTAAAAAAGTGATAGCTAGCTACCCCATTCTAATAAATGATTGATAATATAATTATGTCGAAGATTACCTTATCAGCAAGTTGTCTGTGGAATAGGCCTACTAGGGATACCAATAAGTAAAATTGTAGGAATTAAAAAAAAAATATTTATTTGGAAAATTTGTTTAAAATAAACGAGAGATGTTAAAAGTAAGGTAAAAATGTTGTAACTTTAGAAATAGGAAATATTTTTACTTTTTTACTTAAGTACCTATAAATTTTTGAATTTTGGATTTATGATAAAAAGTTACATAGACATAATTGTAGGCACAGCGATTTGCTACAAAATGTATCTTTTCAAATTTTATGTACGATGGAAACTATCCATCCATAGACTTTAGGAGATATAGCCAAAAACGTGTTTTTTGCACCCCTTTTTCCAAGATGGCGGCCAAGGGGCAAGCACGCCAACTCCACAAACTTGAAGTTAAGCTTGTATTGACCTCCCTACATGTCCCATAAATAAAATTGCCTCCTCTAGCAAATGTTCAGTTTGGCCCTCAAATTGTAACATTTCAATGGACTAACTTAAGACGTGAGTTATATAATTGTTGATTTTCGATATTCAAATGAAGGCGGAAGCGTTACAAATTAATATATTTTACGTAAAATTATTCACATGAATGTTTTTATCATCACCCAGTGTGAGAATAACAGACTAAGAAACTCAATGTTTACTTATTTTTTTGCATTTTATTCTTCACAATAACGAGATTTTTCTTTTCAGGAGAGAAAATTATATGTAAATGGACGAACATACGCGATACTTTCGTTAAATCGCTTAGAACTCGCATGGGGGCACCAAAAAGGAAATACGTTTACTACGACCATCTAACCTTTCTTTTAAAGTCTCAAGCAGAGGAATTCGACACCAACGGCGAACCCGTTTTCTTTATAAACAATGATAACACGCCTAAAAAAGACAGTTCTAGAAAAAGATCGAGAAGAACGGAGCAGGTTGCGTCAGAGAGCGATTATGAACAGAATTCAGAAGTTATGTTAGATCAATCTCAAAGTGACAATGAAATTGAGCAAAGTGTCTTAGTAGATACAAGTGATGCTAGAGTAATGAATGAAGACGAGGCATTCTTTGCGTCACTCCTGCCTTCAGTAGTAAAATATAATGAAGATGAAAGGCTGGAATTCAGAATGGAAGTATTAGGAGTCATGAAGAAAATAAGAGATAAAAGACATTGGAGTACAAAAATTGAATGATAGATAAGTAAAATGCTGTGAGAGAAAATAATTCGATATTACGAAGCCCAGTATGCAAAGTTGAAATCTTACCAGAGGGTCAGATAAGATCTTGGTAATTTAAAGTGCTGTCTTACGCGAGAACAATGTGCACGAGTATAGTAAAAATTGTATCAACACATTTTAAGTTAATTAATCTAATATGATATGTTATGTTACCATTTGTTTCATTTGAATTAAGCTCTGTAGGTCAGGATGACATATGGAAGGCATATAATAATAAAAAACAAAAGCTAATCTTTAATAGATAAGTTTTAATGATCATTTTCTGTAGCACTTTTTAAAGTACGTTTACATAATCACAAAACACATTTCCAGTGAATTATAAAATAAAGACAACTTCTTAAAATACGGTAAGTCCTTTACAGCTAATAAAACTTCCAAGTGAAAAATATAACAAAAAACGCTTCCGCAATACTATATTGGAGGAATATCGAAGGTTCTAACCTACAATATTAAACAATAACAACGCTACGGGATATAAAAAATTCAAACCCTTCAAGAAGTACGTCAGAATATTTTTATAAGGAAATAAATTTTATCCAAAAGTCATAAAAAATAATAAACACTGGAAAGCACCTCCGGCGCCGAACCTTACGAGATGTCATCAAGCTATCACTTAGACCAGAGGCGCGTAATATTCTATCTTAAATCTACTCGAAATAACGAACTATGAATATTCCAACTCGACCGAGTACACAGAAACATTTGAATTACAATTTACTATGGGACCGATGCGTCCATATCGCTAATTTCACTAAGTCTTTAATTTTATATACAGAATACACGAAACTTCAGAAAATGTCTCCAACATTATATCGTTATATACACGCGGTTAAATACTGAAGTTATATGGCTTAAAGCCGAAATTCGGAAGTACCGATGACCGCTGCTCATAGAGAAATATATTTAACTGTTTAGTGACTAGAGCGTCCCCGTAGATTCCAGTGACGTTTTATTTACATACAGATACTTCATGCTAATATTCTACCACAATTTTAAATATACAGTAAACACCCTTCAAGAACGCTTGGATTAAGCCAGAATTGGCACCGAAGAAACAAATTTGTGCTGATTTGGAAGTAACCGATTTAAACTAGTAAAAATTATATCCGATTGCCGTAAGCTAAATCAGTCTAGCATTAAGAAGGGCTATTCGGTACATCTAGATGCCTAAAGACCTTTAAATACACGTATTGAGTATGGTTATTAATACTAATGGAAAAGCTTACTAAATGAAATAATCTTATCAAATAAATCTTTATACAGCTATAGCAGTACTATGTATAATTTACACGAACCAAAGAATCAGACACTTTTAACTCGAAATAAAGAAATGTTTGAACTGACAGGTGACCCAAACATGTAACCGTCTAAACTAATTAACGTAACAAAATAAATCACACAGCATAGATCAAGTGTAGTACCACTTTTATTGTTATATACAAAACAATTTTAACAATACCTATCATTTACACTTATATTAACCTCGGCGGAGATCGCATTCAGTCTGGCGTCAGAACGCCTAAAGGTGTTTAATAAGTCTAGACCGTTAAACTTATATTAGGTTCATCACTAGGGTTAATAAAATGGCAAATAACCCTAGTGGTAAACCTTCGCGGATTATCGCTCGCATAGCAAGTTAAGTCGTAAATTCCGTGTTCGGTTTCCTTGGCCGCGATTTTTTGGGTTTGGAAGGCGCCGGAGAGCCGTTACAGCAATGGCAGCCTCGTTTGACCACACCCCTATTGGACGCCCGCCGTCTGGATTCCATACTGTCTGGGGATCTCTCTCCGGCTCGGGTCTTCCCCGATGTACTCCTCTCCTCTTCAGCCTCCGGAGGATGGTAACGTTTGGGAGGGTAGGTCCGAAGTGGCGGGTGAGTGTCATCCGCAGAAGAGCCGTCGGCGCTGCCACTGCGCTCTATGCCCCTTGCATCCTTGATAACGGAGTCGAGCCTCATTATATGAGTGCCAATGCCGCTGGAGTCCGTCGAATTTGTCTCCTCGAACGGACTTTTACAGCATTTATCGCTGTCACTGCTAAAGTCCAAGGGCCGTCGTCCCTCTGAGCGTTCCGATGTTGAATTTGACTCCCAAAACATTTCGTTTCGTTCAGGAGATGATCGATCGTCGTCAACGTCCGCCATAGATTCTAAAGTTGCGTCTCGAGAGTCTTCCGCCATTTTGGCGTCCTCACCTATCAATGCATGTGTTTCTAAGAACCTGGGGTCGTGTTTATCGTCGTCATAGCAGACTCGGCGTATGACCTGGGTGGCGCCGGAGTGTATGATAGTAGATGCGGTGTTAGAGAGGTGTAGTTCTCGGTTTAACATGGAGTCGAACTTCGAGACACTGTTGTCTTTGACGAGTACGGATGGTATGCTGCCCTGTTGGCTATTAGTGGGCGTGTCAGAATATTTAAGGTTGTTGTGAATTCCACCGTCGGGCGCCGCTTGAGAGATAACTGTAGTTTGTGGTGCAGTCACTAGAACTGTGGCCGGAGCCCGGGAAGCGTGGAATATTGTTGATGTCATGTGCCGGCCTTTGACGTTGGCTATCGTAAACGGTTGTAGCTGAAAATACACAAATATAAATAAGTTTTAGTTTTAGAGAACGTCGGTCGTATATTTGCTGTCACAAAAAATACTGTTGTTATTTATTTTTTAATAGTTCAAATCTTATTAACTTAAAAAATAGTAACCATTTAGGGACCGTTTAAGTATTACGAAAGCAGATTCACTGCAATTTATATAACTTACGATGTTATAATAATGAAAAGACTTAACATAGTAATTAAATCCTAACAGTATTATTATTTAGGTAGATAGAATCTACTACTAGATACTGTATGCAAACCCTTATGATACATAAATACGAATCTAATTACTAAACAATACAAGAAAAAGTTTAAATTTTCATGAAAGCTCTTTGTAAAAATCTTGTCAAACTGGCATTTTATTTTGAATCTGGAATTATATTATTTAAAACATTTTATTTTTATTAATATATTAGATATATTATAAAGTATTCTAGATCCTTAATATAAAATAATATGATAAAATCAGGATATTTCTTCACGCTAAGATTTGTTTACACTTTGAATAAATTCCGAATAAATAGACTAGGCACCTATGCACATTTAAAGCATCTAAACATGTTTTAAAATAAAATTTGCGTCGACATAGAATTACAAATACTTCCTATCCGGTGCATTCTTGACAGAGCGGTTGTGATCGCTATGAAGTAGAGGTAATAGAAGGGGCAGATGTGATGCGCTTCACGACGTTTCGCCATCTTTGCCTATTATAAATACATTCGTAGAAAATTTACGAAAAAAGTCACGCACTATCAAGATCCACTTAAACTTTTTATTATTACATTCCATACAATTCACCTCATTCATATTCATACCTCGGATTCATCTGTAGGTTCCTTATGGAATGTTGTATTTGGATGCGATCTGGCGAACTCTTGGGGGTCCAAAGTTATTGTCCCGTCTGCACTCACGGTGACAATATTGTCCAAACCTAGCGCCATGTTGAGATCCTCTTCATCGGGTACGTCGTTTTGACTAATCAGCTGGTCTGTGGCAATTTGGTCATCGATGTCTGGTTGCGGTATCGTAACTTGGTTTATTAATGGTTGAGCTGTAAATTAGGGCAAATAATTATGTTTAAGTAATTATATTCAATACTAGTTGACCCGGCAAACGTCGTTTTGCCATGTATAGGAAACATTTTTATAGTTCAATAAAAATAACTATCTACTATAATACAAAATAGTGGTTGATCGTAGAGGGGTGAAAATTAGGGGTTGTATATATTTTTGTATGCTGTATCATAAAATAAAAACATTTTTTTTCCAAAAAATAATTAGAAAAAGTTTATTTCAGACAGACAGTTTAGTTAGTAATTATGTACATAAAAAAGAATCTTATTTGAATGCTATTGCGTATAGTCTGTTATTGTTGTCTGACGTCTTTTGCTGCACTAGATAGATAACGTATAGGTAATCCATGACTCTTATGCCCGCCTTCCACTCCGAGCGGAACGTACCCATTACGGACTCCGCTATACTCGTAACGATGATTTTCATACATGTGCTTCCACCAAAGCCGAGGCGAGCGAAGCGGAGAGAGCGAGTTGAAAGAGTCACCTATGAGGTTAGCGAGTTGACCGAGTTTCCCACGGAAATGAAAATGTATGAAAATCATCGTTACGAGTATAGCGGAGTCCGTAATGGGTACGTTCCGCTCGGAGTGGAAGGTGGGCATTACTATTAGTCATGGTCAACAACAGTCTACACGTGCAAGCAATCCCAATTTGTAAACAAAAGAACGAGTTTCTTAGGAAGTTCGTATGCATGATGCCGACAGTCGAGTTTAGGGTAATAAAGCGACAAAAGAACGTACACAGCTCCGCAGTTTTTACTAATTCTACCAACTTAAAAATTACTCAATTGTTGTCGATATTGAGAGTGGGTTTAATGCTGCGTAGAGTGTATCATTGAATGGAAGACAAGCTAAACCAGCCAAAGCCGATTGAGTTCGTCGTTAAATCAAGGGACGATACATGGAGTTTACACTGTATGTTCTAACTGCCTTTGTGGATAACTGGTTAACACATATGGCGCGTTAGCTAAAGGTCCTGGGTTCGATTTCCGGTACAATCGTTTATGGTACTTAATAAAATATTAATTCTAAGCAGTGACCGCTAGTAAGACTTGTATTCATCAATGGCTTTATCTTATTAGAATTGACGACAGTATCAATTTTTAACCCAAGCCAAACTTTTCAGTTATCCAAAATTTATTGCAGTAGCTAAGATAATTAATTTTTATTATTTCCTAACACACGGTGGAATTAATAATTTATTAATTTTTAAGAATAATAATCAACTTACGTGTATGCGAATGGTGTGGCGCTTCGTGAGCTGGTGAGGAAGAAAATAACAGCTCAGCTTCAGGGAACAACTCCGAGGCTGAAGGAGAATCCACGCCCAAATCCTCACATTCTTCAGAGAGGGATTTCTATAACAATTTATTCATCATTAATAACATAAATCTTTCACCGTAATAAATATTGTTTGTTATCGTCATAAATAGCGGGAAAATGACTGAAAGTATGCTTATGGTTCATACCTGTAATCGCAATTCATGCTCCAGTATTGCATATCTGTGTCTCAAGGCAGCCGAAGACACGTGGGAGAGCCTATGGTGACGTTGAGTGGTTCCATCTTTTCTGTGTACAACCTATATAACCAAGTTATTATAGAAAGCTGTGTATCACATTATTTAAATACAAATTTCCTTTATAGATTAACAAAAAGTTAACTTATTATCACTTCTAATTACACTTACAGAGACTACATAACTTGTAAAGCGCTAAACTTTATATTAATTTATATTTAAGCTCTATTTTAATAGACATTTATAAGCTTTTATGACACGAATTTAACACCTATCAAGACTGTAAATTAACAAATTGCCATTCAAAGTAATGAAGATCTCATGAAGAATGACATGCGGGTTCAAAAATGGTACTCGACGAACGTAGTCCATGCAAAATTAATTTCGACTAACTAATGAACGAGATAATTGAAAGGAAGCAAGTATATTGTCCTAACAAAAGTCAACGTATAGAAAAGTAAAAGACAAAGACAATGATGAAAGGCAACACCAACAACTTACAAAATGGGTTTATTCTGCGTAGTTATACCATATTAAGTGGGAGCGACAATTCTGCTATATGCCTATTAGACTAAGTAAAGTTCGTTTTTACTTAAAAGTCATTGCTTAGAGTTAAATATGCTTATGGTAATCAACATTACTATGTAAAATACATATGATTACGTTAAAAGATTAAGATGGCCTGCAGAAAAAAATTACCTTATTTATTGAATAATAATAATTCTAAGTAGATTTATATATACTTATTTCAAAGCAAAGAGAGCATTTTTGATGACGTGCGTTTAGGATTAGCAGAAATGTCGCATCCATATAAATCGGTTAAACCATACACGCAACGAGAGAAGCTGACAAAATAAATTGAGGCGTGCAGGTCTACTAGAGGCTTCTAATTGTTGAAGGGACTGCGTCAGGACTACGATACGTTCACCTGGTGAAATGGCTTATCGTCGCAATCGGACGCATCGATATCGTAACCGCACCGAGGTGAATCGTCTTGAGAAATATAAGACTTTTTGGAGTCAATGTCGAACATCTTATCAAATATCCTTTGCGCCTCCATTTCGGGGCTGTATCTGTCTGGGATCGCTTCCTGAAGTTGCAAAATGTCGGTCACACTCAAAAAATTTATTTGTCGCAATTACTGCTATAAATGTTAATATAAATGAAAATACTTACAAGAACTGTTCTATCCATGTTGTCGGATCTCACGATTTCCTCGTACGAGTAGTCATGAGATGCCAGATTCCACGGTTCTGTACTTCCCGGACTCGATTGTTTCTCTGGTTTTGGATCTTGGCTTTCTCGTTCCGCCCATGGAGAAGACGTGGCCCTAGTGTCGATTAACTCTGGTGGATTAGGATGTACGACCGAAGCGGAGCCGTCGGCCTGCTGACCGGCCGTAGAGCCGAGGGTAAAGGCTTGTAGATTTTGAAGAGCGGCTGCAGGTAAACGTACGTGGCGGACTCCAGGCCTAGTTAACACTGGCTTCAATCCCGGCCCGATAAGACGTTGTAGTAAAACAGTATTTCCACCCCCCTCTCCTCCACCGACAGTAAGTATTTTAGGTCCACGATTGGTAACAATTGCAATCTGCTGACCACTTTTAACCATTGAAACAGGTAATATGTAATTTGCTGGCATTAACACTGCTGTTGTAGGTTTACCGGTGTTATTACGTGCAACAGTAATAGTCTGGCCGTCGGCTACTATAACATTACGTTGTGGTTGGGGTCGCGGCTGCGCTACAGGAGTTTCTGGCTCAAAGGACAGTTTCCTAACCACTTTTCGAGGGCTGTCCTGAGGAGAATGACTATCAAGGCAATTTTCATTACAATCACCCTGCGAAGTACCACAGCTGCTATCTTCTGACCCCATAGTTCTACACGTGTCTTCTCCGTGAACAGGACTCATGTCACGTGTACCTGGACGACGAGAACTACTTGAACTTTTCTTCCTCTTTGAAGAACCGGGGTTCGATGGTGGATTCGATCGTCGTCGCGGTGCCGGTTTATCTTTATCAGGTGAATTTTCAACTTGCTCTTTGTATTCTGCTAAAATATATAGAATCCTTTGTGTCGTTTGTTCATCTTCAAATGGCTTTTGAGTTGAAGGTTTAGGGGGAACTGTATTAATTTTAACAGAACTTGATGGATTCGGGGTAGGTTTAGGTCTGGATTTAGATTTAGAACTTATCTTCGAAACTTTGAGTTGAGTCTGCGATGACGACAGTTCATTAGATTGCTGTGATTCAGTGGTTACAGTATGCGATACTTGAGTCGGCGTGGATGACGAAGGAGAGTCGTTAGCATTCGAAGAATCGGGCGATCTTACATACGTAGTCACGGTAGGCGGGTTAGCTGTAGCTTTGCGATTAACGTAGGCAACGTTAAAAGATGAATTATTGCCAATAGTATAAAGAACTTGATGGGTAGACTCTGTAGAAGATGTACTATGTGAGGAACCGTCTTTTGTTTCAGTAGAAGGTGTGTGTACCTTATTAAAGGCGTTACTACTATTTGGTTGGTTGGGCTGAACCGTACTTCTTTCTTTAACTTGTTCAAGGACCATATCAAATTCCCGAAGTTGTTCCAAGGTGGAAGAACTCATTTGTGACTCTGACGTAGTTTGATTCTCAGCTGGAATTTTAATAAGCCTGTTGGTTTGAGATTGAGGTAGTCTTATTGTTTGCTGTCCTAGTTGAGGAGCTGCCGTTAAAACTAATTGTTGATATACAGGCTGGTTTGCACCTCCTATGACATTACGCTGAATTTGGAAGAAAGAAGGGCGGACCACTCTTGCACCTGAAACCATTTGTGATGGTTTGCTTAGCATCGGCAATTTTATTCGCATCTGTGTTAAAACAGGCTGGGGTTGGTGATTAGAAGTATCATTAGTTGCTTGACTCCTACTTTCATCTGATGTCACTTCGGAATTCGGAGTTGAATTTTGGGACACTATTTTTATAATAGAAGGCTCAACATCAGACGAATTGTTATGCTGTTTTTGATTAGAATCATCTAAAAGCTCTGTGCTAGGAACTGTAATTAAGTTAATCGTTTGTCCACCTCCGATATTTACAGGGATTTGTCTCGTGTAAATTACACCACCGTGCATTGTTTGTAAGTTCATGGGCGTAATGGTTTGTTTCAATTGCGTGACCAAGCTATGAGTTGATTGCGTTTGCGTTGTCGATTGGGGGGTGGCCTTCCGTAGCAATAAAGGTGGATTACTTAAATGCCCTATCTGGTCTAAGCTTATCGAGTTTTCATTTTGACATTCCGGCACTTCGTTAGAAGAATTAACTGCAGCCAAATGTGAGTGATTTTCAGTATTAGATACTTTTTGGTTTTCATCTTGAAATACTTGTTTTCCAAAGGCTTGATTAAACTTGGGTAGACTTGTACTCTTTTCAGTTACAGTTGATTTGCCGGAGTTTTGTATGAACTTAGCATAATTTTCTTCATAAACAGATCTAGACTTAATTTCTTGTTGGCTACTCGTATTTTCATTGACGTTTGTTGCATTTCCATTCGAATTTACATCATTATGGCTTTCTACTGGCTTTGTACTTTGAACATTAGGCGACTCGATGGGTTGAATTCGTAAAACCATACTTCTTTGATGAGGCGCATTTAGCTGTATCGATTTACCATCTGCTGATTTACAAACAAATTGAACCATTTTTTGTTCATTACCACTTTGGACATTGCTTAAATTAGTCAAAAGGTTAACTCTTTTAAGAAGTTGGCCCGTGTTATTTGTTTTCTGACCACTGGTATTCACAATGTGAAGAAGTTGACTGCTACCTTGTTGTATATTGTTGCTATCCACTAAAGGTAAGCCATTAAATGAATTCGTCGGATGTCCCGTGTTATTATTACTATTAGCTTGTCCTTTATTTTGAACTAAATGCAATACCGGTGTGGAATTGGATGCATTTAGGACAGATTGTTGGGTATTATCCATTAATGTAAGTTGATTCACTGAATTAGAATTTTTTCCTTGAACTAAATGAAGAACTTGATTGGAAGTTGGTTGGCTATTATCAGAAGTATTTGTTCTATTCAATGGAGGAGGTAATATTTGAGCTAATGCTTGTTGCAAAGATATAGCATTAATTGAAGTTGATTTAGAGTAATTAGTACTTGAAGTCAAAGAAATGCTCGATGTTTCTTCATTTATCTTCTCGCTTCTCGCACTATCTATTGCTTGGGATTCATTTCTAAGCAATTGTTCAGAGCTTGTTGTTATACCTGCCGCAGACATAGCATGTGCAATTTGATCAGTCTTTTCATTGCGCTCCTCATTTTGCAAGAATGGTTCGGTGTTATTTAAATTCTGAAAAGATAAAACATCTGATTCGGTGACCGTACTGGAATTGTTTGTAAAACAAAACTCTCTGTTATTAGTGTGTTGGCTAATTATCTCTTGAAGTTCACTATCTTCATTGTCAATTTCTTCTTCATTCTCTAAACTTTCCTCTGCAATTTCAATTTTCACAATGGAATTGACTTCTTTTTCTATTGGTATATTTTCGTCTGAAAACGTTAATTTATTGTTTTCGGCTTGAGAAATAAAACTTATCGCCTGATTATTTTGCCTTTCATATTCTTTAACTAGGGGTAGACTTAAATCAGCAGTAGTTAATTCAGTATATTCAGTTTTCACAGATGGTTGCGAGCCGTCTCGCGGGCTGTTTTCAGCTGAACACTGAGGCGGACTCGCATCAGTTACTTGAGTAACCCGAGGATCACAAGTAACTGGATTTTGTGCTGCAGCGCTGACAGGTAACTGTCCAACTTGAACAACTTGCACAATGGTTTCAATAGAAGGTACTGTGAAAAAATCAAAATTATGAACCTCTAAGGGATTTAAACCATCAGAATATTGCTTGCACTCTTTACCATTTTCTTTGATGTTACTTGACATCCATTCAAGATTTAATTCAACATTAGTTTGTTTAAAAAATGATCGTACCTTGTTTTTTTGTTTTATATAATTAAGAAAACGATTAGTTACTTCAATATCGTCTTCATGCGTTTGAAACTTCACACTATTCATTAATTTAATATTAGAATACTCGGATCCTGAAAACGGCTGAGGTTTTACGTCCGACAGAGCCGCAGCCGAAGTTTCTTGAAGAGTATTTTGATCTCCATACTGTTGAATGACTCTGTCGGACCTCTCACCAAAACCCATACTAAAATTAGTTTCATTGATCTCAATTGATTTATATTCGTTTACAAAACCTTCAGAAGCTATTTCTTCTGCTAATGATTGGCGCAGAGGGTCATTTTCAGAGTGAGGTTCATCGTGATAAATAAATACAGCATTATCATCTTCAGACGCATCAGTATATAAATTTAATACACAAGGAACAGGCCAAGATTTGTGTAACTCATAAACGTTCAAATTTTCTTTATGAAATGGCCGTGAGAATGAAAATTTTATAGATTCCCAATATTTAAATAATTCCCTAAACTCCTTAACATAGGCAAAATTGTTGATAGCAGATGGGTGAGTTTTTGGATCATTGATGTTTTTTCCCTTTCGGTAGCGCTTTACTCTTGAATATTTGTAATCTAATGTGTCATTTTTCCGTTTAAGATTCCTTTTTGTCTTCAAATATAGATTTGTAATTAATCCTTGTTTACTGTATGTTACTTTTGGTTTCAACACATTAAAATTGCTCTCATTAATTTCTTTATCAATCGATTTAACTTCAGAAATATCATTCTTTATTGATGCCTGTATGGGGAATAAATAACACGTTCCAATTACAGGGTCTCTATACACGGATCCCTCTAATATGAGATCAGAATCATCCCGTTTATATAATAAAGTTATATTTTTTTTAGGTAAATCAGAAGTCTCATTTGCGCACTTCCCATTTAAGTTTAAAAGCGTTGGCTTTTCTACCTTAACTTCGTTGTATTTTTTAAGGTTGAAGCCGCTATCGTTATTAGATTTTAAAGATATTTCTTTTCTTTGAGGTAAATATTCCATTTTAACATAGCACCCTTGTTTGGATTTGTCAATTTTATTTAATTTCTTTTGCGATTCCTTATTACGATCATTTTCGTGAGCATAATCGCTATTGCTGGCGTCAAATTTAGAACAGAACATTTTCTCATTATGAATAAACTCTTCTATACTTTGCTTATCAAATATTGGAGTATTATTTATATAACATTTTAAAGGTTGCTTGTTCTCTATAATATTCGAGTTTATAGTAACAGATTTATCAGACATTGATTCAACATGTTCCAGCTTTATCTTGCCAATATCACGGCTTTTAAAAATAGGGCAATTTTGCATGGGTTTTATGAGTTTTGATTTCTTTAATACTAATTTATGTTTCATATCGGATGTGGAATCTGTTTTAATCATTCTTCTTTTTCTGTTACAATATTTGTAGAATTTGGGTATAACTGGGCTCAAAATATCAATAACAGCGGAATTGACAAGGTAATTTGTCATTATCGTTACCAAACTAAGGACAGGAGTATTGTTACATTGTTTTAGTAAGGCTTCTTCAGTAGAGGTACTCGAACTTTGTGACATTGAATTAGGTTTTGAATAATCATGAATCAAAGATTTTGTTAAAAACCAGTCTGTGTCACAAACGGTAATGCTGGTATGGCTAGAATTGTTTAAGCAAGTTTTAAAATCTTCACTTGCAACAAAACCGTTGTAATTATTTATCTTGTTTTCGATTAATTTATTTATATAACCAACATTAAAATCACAGTGTTGTATATTAAGAGATCGTTTTGTATTGCACCATTCTGCACAGCAGCCAGTCTGCGGAAGCAGCAGTTCAAAATTCACAGTATGATCTTTTATAACTGAAAATGGACTACGATATTCCGAAATGGATGGAAACCATTGATTTTCTTCAACTAAAATTTTTGGTGCAACACTGGATCGGACTTGTGTAACAAAATAGTCTTTTTTATCTATGTCTAACTCCGTTGAAGTCGAAATATTGTCACCTAACGTCTCAATATCATAGACAGATAATTCCGTGTGCAACGAAAGCCTTTCTTGTTTCAAATTGATATTTAGCGCTTCATTGTTGCTCAAATACTCGTCACTTTTAAATTGTTCTTTAATGGTTGAACGGATTTCAATGTTTTTATCGTCTTTTATGTTGAGCTCATTAAGTATTAGTCTATTTTCGACGTCGATTAGCGATTCCTGGTTCGTCATGGTATTGGTAAAATTTTGTTCTTTGAGGCTAAGGTCAAAATTCAAAGCCTTCTCATATGAAGTAACAATATTTGGCGTGTCTTTACAGACTTTTTTAGATTCAGTGATTTCCTTTTCCACTTTCTGATGCTTCTCTTCGTTTAGGGATGATACTTTACAAAAAATTATAGGACTAGTAGTGATTTGATCTTTTTTATTTAGTATAATAGGTTGTGCTTCCACTTCAGGGTTTTCTTTTTGGGCTTCTTTACTTTCAGCTACCAAATCTTTTATAAAACAATCTGTAGTTTCGAGTTGTTTTTCCAGATAACAAGCGGATTCATTAGTTTTTAGCTCATACTCCTTTGGTAAATTAGTTACTCCTTTCTGGGTAGGTTTCGCACTCGATACATTTGAAAGTAACTTTAAATCACATGTAACAGAAGGTAATTCATTGGTAAATAATGATTCAACAGAAGAACACTTTGGGTTAATACCTTTGACATCACTGACATATGATTCATCAATAAGTTGTTGTTTATCTGTTTCTATTATTGTCTTCCCAATTTGACTAGATGCCATTTTATAATTGTTAGACAGAAAAGAACTAGTAGGGTCAATTGTTAGAGAACTGTTATGATTACAAATACTTTGTGTTTCAATCAAATCTGTACAAATGTTATCATTCGATCCGTTAGTATTTGATTTCTTATTTAACAATTCTTGTTCATAATTGCCAATGCTCTTTTCATTAAAAATGCTCTCCTGCTCTATCTTATTATGTGACATGCTTGTTGTGTCACAGGGCAGTTGTAATTCTTTACTTCGGGTACAGCTATTAACAGGGTTGGACAAATCAGTTTTACATGAGGCTGTTACTTCGTCGTGTTTGGATTGTACAAAGTTCGAATTTTGGTGATTATGATCACATCTAATGAGCCGAACAAAGCATTTCTTTAATTCAATTTTTTTTGTCTTAATAATACTGCGTGTTTGTACATTAAATTTTTTTCTGCTACGACTAAAAGTAGCGTGTTTTGATTGTTTACTATTAATTTTATTGATTTCGTTAATAATAACATTCTTATTTAAAAAAAGTTAACTCATTATTCTTAAGGCCTTTTATAATGGAGCTTCTCAATACTTCAAAATCAGTAATTAAGTTAGATTTTAAAATACTCTCTTCAGAGCGAGGTTTACTAATTTCGGTGATTGAATCATTTGAGCTATCATTTACTTCTATAACATCTGTATTATGTTTGTTTCTTTGATAGCCTTTATCTAATGTTTTTGATAAAGAGTGACCAAAAGATTTATCAGCTATGACTTTTTCCAAATATTCACATCTTGTAATATTAACTGTACATTTTTGAGATAATTTGGTTTGATGTTTTAGAAATGTATCATTTTCCCTAAATTTCGACGTAAAATCACCAAATTCAGTTTTAAAAACCACTTCATCTATTTCTTCAGATTCATCTTCAGAAACAAGATCGATTACCTCTGGTTTCATGGATGTAACATCAGGTGGATATAAAATCGTATTTACAATAGTTTTCTTTTCTGATTTTGTTTTCTCAGTAATTGTTCTCTGCTTAACATTAATTGTACATGGCGTTTTAGTAATGCTATTTCGAAGCACAAGATTTCTTATGTCTGGCTCAGAAAACATTGAATCGATGTTAACATCTAAATGACCACATATGGTAGCTGTTAGCGTTGTTCCATTAGCTTTTATTCTAATTTTACGCTTTGTAGGATCATCATTTGGTTTTCTTGGCAATTCGACAAAACTAATAGAATCTTCATCTATGGAAACCAAATTATTTGAAGGTTTTAATATCGTTGATGTCGTGCTATCTACAGGTGTTCTAGATTTTAAAGTAGTTTCTTTATTATCAATATCCTTAAATATACTTCCACTAGACAATTTTTGTAAACTTGTTAATGAACTGTCTATGTTATTTCCATCCAATTGTTTGGTACCGTCACCAATAGTATCTTTGACTGTGATTGATTTTGTTTCGGGATAATTATTATTTTCTCTTTTACTTTCGACGCACGGTGTTGTTACATCACTCATACAATCTTTAACTAAAGTTGATTTTATAGTCGACGTTTCAATTATTCCTTTTTGTTCTGTAGTATTTTCGATTAATGATGTAATCGCGTCACTAAAAGTATCGGCAACTTCAGGTTTCAATATTTGTTTTTTAGTTTCGCCTTTCTTTACCTCTTCCACAGTTTTTATAACAAACGGAGATGTCAATTCGCTTACAGCATTATTATCTAAAGACGTTTCAAACTCCTGGATTTTAATTTCTGTTTCTTGTGTCTTTGTCTCCGCTGTTTTTATATCATTCAACGATTTGTAGGGCAATGGAATTGGCGATAAGGCTAAGAACTGTTCAATTGGTCTATTCAATAATAACAATCGCTTTCTTCTTATTCGTTCAATTTCAATTTGAGATTTTAAACGATTTGTAAAGTGACAAACATTAGATGTTTCACAGTTTTCCTTTGTAGTTGTAGATAAGTTTTGGTTCACCTCATATATTTCTTGGTCATTAGGTCGATACAATTTCTTAATAGTCATCAAGTTCGAGTTGTCTTTTGGACTAGTATTGATTAAGCAGTTATTTAATGGTGACATATTACCACAGTGATTGTCTCGGCTGCCTTTAACATTCGCATTTGTAGATTTAGCTTGTGCCTGCGATACAATTACACTTTTATTTATTAGTAGTCGATTTTGTTTCACCGTAGAATCCTCTTTTTTTTCAAGTCTCGTTTCTACGCTCAATTCCTTAGGAATGACCGGTTTGATGACAGTAGATCCTAATACGGTCGGATAAGTAAGCTTACAGGAACTTGTAGAATAGGGTTGTTTTGGAAGTGGAGGAGGCTGGTGATGTGCGAAATTTCCTTTTCGTGGTGCCAAGTCTTGTGATATCGGGACTTCAGTAGTCGTCGTTACAATTACTGTGTTTTGGGCGATTAGGGTTGTATTCTTTGGATTATTCAATTTTTTTGGTACTTCAACTGATGCTGTAACTATCCTAGGCCTCTGCCTTTTAAGAGTTTTTGACAGGAAATCCGAACTTTTCAGTACTGAATTATGACTTTCAGCCGTGGCAGTAATTACATTTGGTTTCCAAATCATGTCTTTTAAATTATTTGCTTGTAAAACTGGTGATGGAACTTGTAACAAGCTGTTTGTTTGAGATTTTGTTGATTTATATGTTGGTTGATCTAAAGAGTGAGAAGTCGACAAAATTGGCGGAGGCGTCTCAATTGACGAAGTTTTTAAGTGCAAGGCATCAGCCTTGGATAAATCAGCTGAACTAGTAGTTTTATGTGATAATGATGTAAGTTTATTTGATTTCGCCGTTGTCGATGCAGTAAATTTTTTAAATTTATCAGTATGTGTTACAACTCTATCGTTAAATTCCGTCTTTAACTGCGAATTAACGTTAGTTAAGTTTTCGTTATTTGTATGTTCTTTTTTAATTATAACTTTGTTAATTTTTGATGTAGTAATCAAGTCATTTGAAATAATAGAGGGTTGATTATTTAGTGCGCTTGTAATTGACTTTGGTTTGCTATTAATAATCATGCTTTTTGGTATATTCAAAGGAATATTTTTTTGTTTTCCAATCGTTTCAGCTTTTAATTGAGATGTTGGTGATAAAATGGAATTTCCTATATTAACATTCTCTGCTTGTGTAACGCCTTTTGGGTTAGTTAAGGTAAACATCTTTTGTTTTTCAACTGTTTCTGTTCTTAATTGAGATGTTTGCGATGAAACTGGTTTTTCTTCTACAGTAGTTTTCTCCGTTTGAGTCACGCTTTTTGATTTATTAAAAGTATTTATCTTTTGTTTTCCAATGGTTTCGGATTTTAATTGAGATGTTTGGGATGGAGCATGTTTCTGCATTAAATTTTCTGAAATTCCAATATTAACTTTCTCCGTTTGTATATAAGGTCTATTAGGACCATACGTGTCATCGTCAGATAATTCACCAATTTCCTGACGTAAATCATCATCCATAAGTTCATCCAATAAATCGTAATCAGAATTCGGAATTCCAGATATAAATGGATCATTTTCTACGGGATGTATTTCTACAAAGTTCTTATTTTCCATTTTTTCCTGTGCCTTTGAAGTGTTTCCTACTTCTGCACTAAAGTCTATGCTATTATATTGGTTTCCTTGATTAGGATCACTATTAATGTGTGAATCAATATGTCGATTTGCTTTAACTGTGTTATTTTGTGTCGATTGTGGCATAATTTCCTTACCTACATTGTTTCTCTGAAGTGCTATTTCAAGCGCACTAGGCCCGCGATTTGGAGTTTTATGTTTAGAAAGATCATTAAAAACACTTTCCCAGCTTCTTGTACCCGGTATATCGATTTTTTTATTTTGGTTTGATTTGCTTTTGCGAGAACTTGTACATTGTTTCTTCGGCACAGAATTTACTTTTACACAAGGTTGAGGTTTAGCATTTACTAGTAAGCCGTAATCTGTTTTAACATCTAGAGCCTTGTTGTTCTGATTTTTCATTAATTGGATTGACTTGTTATCAGTTTTTGGTTTCTCTAAAGAGAAATCAACTACACCACATGAGTTTGATTCCGCGTTATGGGCTTTCTGACCTAAATTGTTCAATTTGGTTTCAACACGATTATGATTAGAACTCGTATTTGGTAATTTACATATTTCTTGTTCATTGTTTTTTAATTGAACTGACTGATAGGTGATTGTGGCAGAGTATGGTGTTTTTATTATTACATTGTTTTTTCTAGGATCACCAGAAAGATCTGGATTTTGGAAGTTCTGGTTTTGAACGACCAATGACCCTATTTTTTTTGGTATAATTGTTTTGGCAGTAAACATTTTTGTTTTGTGCTACAGCCGATTCCATTTTAGCCGTTTGAATGTCAACAGTATTGGAAGTATTCACCCGTGTCGTTGGTTGGGCCACTGTATCGGCAACGCAAGATTTCGATAAAGCATTTATTACAGCATTCGACCAATTTAGTTTACTTTTTTGCCTTAGTAACTGTAATAGATCAGTATGATCTTTCTCGGACAACATTGTAGAGGCTGATGTTTGCGCTTTCGTAACATTCTGAAAACTCTTATCATTATACCCAGTCTTAATAAGATTCGAATCATCTGCCTGAAGTAAGTTTGTGTGATTCTGAGGTACTGATGTATCTGTTGCCTTTTCATTTCCTTGAAGAATCAAATCCGTTACATTGCTTTTTTTCCTAATTTTACTTAATTGCATTTGCCCTTTATGTTGATGGTGAAGTGGTAACATTGAGTTTAGATTACAACCGACATTAGGTGTTATTTGTGTCTTATTCTCTCCTTCAGGTTTTATTTTTTTTTCGAAATGCTTGTTTTTATGAAGATAACTCAGACGGGAAAAGGTATTTGGTACATTTTCTGCCTTTTTAGGCACCTTGATAATTTTGGGACAAACACTTGCATTAGCGTGTTTAATGTCAAATTTTTGTTTCGATGTTGTTGCTGGATTTATAGTATCTTGTAGTTCTTTTAAGAATTCTTGAAAATGTCTTTGCGTAGGCTCATTCACAATCGTTGAATGTAAGTCTCTTGATACAGAGGGAGTGTTAGATTGAGATACACCACAGTTGGAGATGTTATCCGTTATTTGATATTTGAAACCACTCTCTTCAAAACTATGATGCGATGCATTATTATATTTTAAGGATTGCATAGGTTCACTTGCAGATAAATAATCAGTGTTGTATCTCTTAAGAAATTCTTGAAACTGACGCTCACCCGTAGAAGAAAATGACTGTGATGGCCGAGTTGTGTTTCGTAAATTTGTTTCATAAGACTTCACAAATTCTTCATAGGCTTGTTGGCCTGGTGTTTTGTAAATACTTGTCGGTGTGTTGGTTTTAAGAGGCGGATTTAGTAATTTAGAGACTGGCATGCTACAGTTTTGAAGATTGTTATTGATTTTGTCGTTAGACGAGCGCGTTACATTTCCGATGTTTTGTCCAGATGGACACTTTATTTCACTTGTTGGTTTAATACTAGATACTTTTTGATCTGCATTCGATTTTATGGTATTAAAGTTATTGCGTCTAAAACTTATAAGTTTTTTAATATTATTTTTCAAATCCTCACACGCTATATTTTGTTTTGCTTTTGTATCTTCAGTGGTAATCGGTTGCGTTAAACATCTGTTAGCTTTCAAAGTTTCTTCCTTCAACCTTATTCCTGGGTTTTGAGTTTCTTGGAAACTCATGTCGTCTAAAGAATACACGCCATCAAATACAACTTCAGATTTCTCAGGAATATTACTTACAACATCAGCTTTCTCTGATGTGTTACTAGTCAACATTTTATCTCTGCTTTCAGCAGTTCGCGTTGGAAACATCATTCTTTCTGTGTTTGCAATTAGTCTTCGGAGATCACTATTTTTGCTAGCTACCTTCATGGACAGAAATTTTCTTAAAGCAGTTTTTTTGACAATATCTTTTTTAGATTCATGTCTGCTTGTGTCATTTGAGAAATCATTTTCTGTATCTTTTAATTTCTTCTCCCTTTTTCCGCTTCTTTTGCCTCTTTTAGTTGCTATCTCTGGCTCTACTTTGACATCATTATAATCTTTATTAGTATCTTCGTTGCAGTCTTTATCTTCTTGACTTACCTTTAAGTCAAAAGTCTCCGTGCAGGTAATAGCATCAATATGACTATCAAGTTTAAGTGGATCTTCAGCTAAATTAGACACAATCTTTTTTTTCTTCTTTTTTCTTTCCTTTTTCGGTCGTTTAGTAATAGAATCGTCACTACTTTGCGACGGACTTTCGTAAAATACATTTTGCCAAATTTCAGGTGGCATGGTATCTGTGATTGGATCTTGTAACTCAACCAAGTGCTCATAGCCTGTGAAACAATTAATACTGTTGATTACTACCGTAAATATTGTAATTTAATTGATTATAACCAATGAACTATCAAAATATGTTTAATAAAGTATTATGTATTTCTTTATAATAGGTAAATAAGTCGTTTATCTTATGAAAACCTTTTTCGATTCCGTAATATATATCATCTTCATTTTCGTCCTCTTCAGGCAGATGCTGGAACGAACGTGGATCAAGGTTGAGATACTTGAGTTCAGTTGACAGCGCTCGGGTACCAAAGTCAGTCTTCTTCATGTAAGTTTTGCAGTTATCTAAAAGTGCCTCCCTGAAACATATATTGATATATAATGGTCACCGTATGACATGTACTTCTAATATTTTGTTTCATATTTGATATCATACAAATTATGTAAGAGGGTCAGAGCCTACCGTTCCATGTCCCAAGTAAGAGTTTTTACTCTTGGCCCAGAGAGTAGCACTGCCAAATCGTTGCACAATTCTGATCCCAACCCTAATGATTCTCCCTCAGAGAATATGGCAGTTGAAAGCACATTTGCTTGTTTCTGTGTCTTCTTGAGGTTTAAGGTCTCAGAGGTCTTGACAAAGTTGGTCTGTGTCCGACTGTCAGTTGCCCAGCTCCCAAACTCTGATGTGGACTCACGATTTGGTTCTTGTAGGTCCTGGAAACGATTAAGTATCTAAAAGATATTTTTAAATGCAGGGCCTTTAACAAGTAACAAATGAACTTAAGGTAGAGGTAAGATATCGGCAACAGGAGCCACTATAATTCAGATCCCTGAAGCCGGCAGTGGGGAAAAAGCCGATACCTTAGCCAACCGACTCAAAACAGTACTGAGTGACAGCGGAATCAAGATTACACGGCCCGTCCGATGCGCCGATGTCCGCATCTCTGGCCTGGACGACTCTATTACAGCGGATGAATTGCGCGAGGCTATTGCGGCGAAGGGAGAGTGCCCGGCTGATCAAATAAGGATCAGCCGAATACGACAAGATAGATCGGGTCTTGGCGCAGCGTGGGCTAACTGCCCCGTAACGGCCGCCAAGAAACTCTTAGCGGGGCGTTTCTTTGTCGGATGGGATGTGGCAAATATTAGTGTTGCAAAGCCAAGAGAGCTACGGTGTTTTCGCTGCTTACAAATCGGGCACGTAGCTAGCCGCTGCATGTCCGATACTGATCGTAGCCAACTGTGTTTTCGCTGCGGTCAAGCCGGTCACAGGGCAGCCTCCTGCAGTGAAAAACCCAAGTGCCTACTCTGCGACGAGGCCGGTAGGAAAGCGGATCACAGGCTAGGTGGCAATAGCTGCACAGCTCCCAGTGTGAAGGTACCCAGGCGCCGCTCGTCACCTAAAAAAAAGACGCCCGCAAAGTCTCCGCGTAACAATGCGCGTATGGAGGTTATAGAAACCGCAGCAAATTAACATGGCCCTACGGTTTCTCCAGAGCAACCTTAACCATTGCGCTGCTGCACAAGACCTACTGTACCAGAGTCTGGCGCAGTGGAATATCAACATAGGTATAATTTCCGAGCCCTACTCCATACCCGAAAAAACGAACTGGGTTGGCGACCTCGACGGTTTGGCCGCAATTATCGTTACACCGGCAGACGGCTCGCCCTGCATTGGCCCAGTTCGAAAAGGCCACGGCTATGTGGCAGCAAAGTTTGGAAGCAAAATGTGTATCGCGAGTACGTACATCTCCCCCAATCGCTCGCTGGCTGAATTTGAGGCCTTCCTAAACGAACTGGGAAGCCTGGTGCAATGGAGTCACCCGAGACATTTAGTCATCGCTGGGGATCTGAATGCAAAGTCTGTGGCCTGGGCTTCACAGATGTCCAGCCCACGAGGAAAAGCGTTGGTGGACTGGGCAGCAGCGCACTGTTTGGTAGTGGCCAACAGGGGCTCTGAAACTACGTGTGTTCGAACAAACGGAGAATCGATTGTGGATGTGACTTTCACGAGCCCCCCATCTTTCGTGCTGTGTTCAGGACTGGGAGGTCCTGACGGGGGTTGAGACGCTTTCGGACCACCGGTATATCCGCTTCCGCACTCTCTCTCCGTCGGCCAATCCTAGCTCGGACCCGTCAGAACTGGGCCCAAAATGGGCACTTGGGAGTCTTAACAAGGAACAGGCGGAATTGGCTACGATTGTGCAGGCCTGGTGCCCGATCCCAGCCTCCGTAAATCCAGAGGAAGAGGCAGAGTGGTTTCGTGGCGCAATGACTTGCGTCGCGGATGCCGCAATGCAAAGAAGACGCCCTGGAGCTCACCGGACCAGTGTATTCTGGTGGTCGGCAGAACTCGCCCAGTTGCGGGTAGCTTGTGTAGCAGCTCGTCGAGGCTACACCAGGACTCGCAGAAGGCGACCAATTCGCATAGAAGAGGAAAAACAAGCATATAGCGTATACCGAGATGCAAAACTGGCGCTGCGAATAGGTATCGCCGAAGCAAAAAAGAAAGCATGGCAAGAACTGCTTGACACCCTGGAGCGGGATCCCTGGGGACGCCCGTATCAGATTGTCACAAACAAGCTGCGCTCGTGGGCCCCGCCACTCACGAAAAACATGGAGCCGGAACTGCTCAGCACAGTGGTGGCGGAACTTTTTCCTGAACGCGACGCCCTGAGCTCCCCACATGAGACGACTACGGAACACAGTGTCACTGTGTCTGAAGTATCTCCTTCGGAGTTGAAGACAGCAATAGCGCGCATGACCACTAAAAAAACTGCACCTGGTCCCGATGGCATGCACGGACGAGTTCTGGCCCTCGACGCTGGTCTTGACATGCGCTTTCGAAGCCTCCTCACGGAATGTCTTAGAAATGGCCTCTTTCCGTCAACATGGAAGACTGGGTTGCTAGTTCTTCTAAAAAAAGGTGGAAAACCTCCAGAGTCACCATCAGCGTATCGACCTATAGTTCTCCTAGATGAAGCCGGCAAGCTCTTCGAGCGTATTATTGCCGGTCGGATTTACAATCATTTGGAAACTATAGGACCAAACATACATGAGGCTCAATTCGGCTTCCGGAAACATAGGTCAACGATCGACGCAATTGCGCGCCTGCGAAGCGTCTGCGAGGGGCAGGTGTCACGGGGCAGAGTGGTTTTCGCGGTATCGTTAGACATCGCGAACGCTTGACGACGGCCTGCGCCACCACGGCTTACCGGCCTATATAAGAAAATGTGTAGCATCGTACCTCAACGGCCGCCGTGTTATCTTCCCGAAACAAAATGGCATAGGGAGTCACCTCATCAAGTGCGGCGTCCCACAAGGTTCGGTTCTTGGCCCCCTTCTTTGGAACATAGGTTACGATAGGGTGCTTCGAGCGAAACTAGTCCCTGGAGTGTCAACTATATGCTATGCAGACGACACCCTCGTGGTCGCTATTGGAGAAGATTTTAAGGAAGCGCGCCTTCGAGCGACAGCTGGAGTAGCTAGGGTGGTTTCTGAAATCAAGAAGCTCGGCCTTGTTGTCGCCCTTCAGAAATCATAAGCTATATGCTTCTACGGCCACAGAAAAGCTCCACCTCAAGACGCAGACATCATTGTCGGCGGAGTAGCTATCCGGGTCGGTACCACGCTCAAATACCTTGGGCTGATTCTTGACCCACGGTGGACTTTCAGACCACACTTCGTGGCACTTGCCCCTAAGCTCACCGCCACCGCAAACATGCTTTCGCGCATAATGCCAAACCTCGGCGGGCCGAGTGGGGGGTGTCGCCTCTTATACGCTAATGCGATCCGGGCAAAAGCACTGTACGGGTGTCCCATATGGGCCGACAAACTGACCGGGTACAATCGCACAATACTCAGGCAGTCGCAGCGAGTGGTCGCTGCCAGGGTTGCGAGGGCGTACCGCACTGTGTCTTATGACGCAGTGTGTGTTATAGCCGGTACCGCGCAATGGCATCTCGATGCGGCTGCGTTTAGCGAAGTATATTGGAGGAGGGCCGAAGCTCGGGATAAAGGGATAACCCCACACTGGAACAATTAAACGCGTGGCGAGCCTTAGAAGACCAGGAATTGTTAGTAGAGTGGGAAAGCGAGCTGGCGGGTGCGAGTGCCGGTAAATATACTACCGAAGCCCTCAGACCTTTGCTTCAACTTTGGGTAAAGAGGCGCTGGGGTCACCTCAGCTATCGACTTGTGCAGATGCTGTCCGGACACGGATGTTTTGGTAGTTATCTGCACAAAGTAGTAGGGTGTGAGGAGTCACCAACCTGTCACCACTGTGTCGGAGACAACCGGGACGACGCCCTGCATACACTGAGGGACTGCCCAGCATGGGAAGCGGAAAGGAGACCTTTGTTAGATGCTCTCCAGGGCGAGGACGCAATACTGCCAAACGTAGTGAAAGCCATATTGAGCGCAGGAAATGACGGCTCGTGGAAAATCTTCTATAATTTCTGCGAGTCGGTCATGAAAGTCAAAGAAGAAGCGGGGAGAACCAGGGAGCTTTGTCCCGGAACCCGTCCGCGGCGGCGAAAGAAACCGCAGGCCCGTCAAATCCTCGCTACCTAAAGAGTGCCCAAGCGGGGAAGCAGGGGTCCATGCGTTCAAAAGAAGGGATGGTGATCCATCCCTGCAAGCACTGGACCCGATCTCCCCTAGCTATTCCTAAAAGCGTATGGCCCGATCTGTGAAGGATACTTGCTGTGTCAAGTATCTTCACAAATCAACAATGGGCGGGGAGAGGCGGACACAACTGCCGCATCGCATGTCGGGAAGCGGATAAGGCTCTGCTGGTAGGGTATGCGCAATGCATTTCCCCAAGTAAAAAAAAATAAAAAAAAAGAGGTAA